GTGACGCTGCACCAAACAAGTCAATACATCATTAGTGGATGAAGCAAAAAGAAGCATCACACTGGGCACGGCCATATTTAGGTTTTTTCTGCATTTTATTGAGTAAAAATTATATATGCTGCTATAGAAAGTACACAAAAATACAGCAATGTTTCCTCTAATAAAATAAAGTGTAAAAATGTTTTTTTTTTTGGCTTTTTCATAGAAGATTTATAAAAAGGTAAAAGAAAAACTTTCAATGGGATTATAGGTCACACACAGGCGTCACGTTTCATAAAAAAACATCAATAACTTCTTATTAATACGAGCTACTCTGCACTAGAACATTAGAAAGCGAGCTTTATATGTGTTAATATAAACTATCATATAAAATGTTTAAAAAAACTTTTTTTTGTTTTCCAGCAAAAACATTCAACGAGTTCAGCAGTTATTAATGAAGCATGTAAACATGAAGCTTTTGGTTTGTGAAACTCAGGAAAAACATCCTGGCGGCACTCGAAGTGACTTTTGAAGCACCACAGCTGTAAAAGAGCCTGAAAGTCAAAAAGGGTCTTTACAAAGACTTGTGCATTTTTCAAAATAAGACGCAGTTCTTAGTCAAATGTGAGTTAAAACACTTGTAAACCTTTCTATCGATACAGTACGCATGAACACTGAAAACACAAAGTTCCAGTGATAAAATAGAAGCTGTTTCCACAGAGAGCAGACGGCTACAGCATGAGCTCACAGACGTGATGGTGTAGGAGGTAATACCCGTTCACTTTGGTGACGGCCTTAAAACAGCATTTCAAAGTGTTCCAGTTAATAAAAAACTAACAAGTGTTTCAGGACTGCTACCCATAGATGGCGCTGTGTGGGGGCCGCGCTGAAACGCGCTTCACCTGCGTCGCAGTGGTGTGGAACTTCTTTTGGGAAATCGACGATCTAGAATAAAGTAGTCACGAGAGTTCACATCATCACAGAAACACGGGAGTCGGATTTGGCTGAAACGTGCTTATCAGAAGCGCCGTAACAGAGAGCGCTAAAGACTCGCTGTCGAGGAGCGTTTCCAAGAAAACACACGTTCTCCACACAGACCAG